CCACCAGTCACCAGTCATCGCTGTCTTGGGCTTTGTGCTTAATCTGGGCCTTTTCTGGTGTAACTACACAGATCTGCACTGGTTCTGGATGTGGCCATGCATAACAGTACAGGAATGGCATTAGTGGCATGGGTCTGCACTCCCTGAAGGTGATTGGAATGGAAGCCAGGTGACAATGAAGGTGACAGAACATGATGGCTGTCAAGGACAAATGGATGTCTCGCAGAATTAGCTAGGGCCATGGTTTCTGGGTGTGTGAAGGGATCATCCAGAAAAGAAGCTACATGTGGGGAAGCTACATGTGATCTCTCAGCATGATGAGAGCAAATGTCAAGAGAGCAAATGCAAGGCTTTTAAGCAACCAGCAACAGCTGAGGAAGGAGAAGAAAAGCTGCCACTTTTCACCTCATTCTTGAGATGGTTGGTTTGGGGTTCTGCAACCTCTTCTAGTCTCAGCATTTCAATGAGGATGTTAAAAAGTGAAAATGGCTGAGAAGTAATGCTATCTGTGAAGACATCCCTTGTGATGAGCACTTAAATACCAGCCTTTCTACCTCAAAGGTAGAACACAGGAGAGTAAATCTCTGCCTGAGACTACCTAGTGCAGAGGAAAATCTCCAGGCATCAGAGATTCTTCAGCAGGCTGTGAGTATCCTGGGCTCGAAAATGAAACAAACGGAAACAGGGCACAGAGAGGTAAGCTGCACCATTTAGAAGAACTTATCCAGCAAATCTGCCATTCCTGCAAGTCTTGTAATCAATACTGCTGTCACAGAGAATAGCTCACTCAGAAATTAAATGCTAAATGAAGGACTCCATGAAATCCTACGCTCTGTATTACCTAAGATAGAGTAGATGATTGTAAGAGTCCCCTCGGGTCTTAAAAATCTATGAGTATCGTTAAAAGGATAGGCACTTCTAGAGACTAAGCAAGATGTCCTTAAAATGTTCAGGGATGTGCTTTCCTTGCAAGTTTTGCCTGAAAAATGACTAAATGATTTAGCCTAGAACTGGAAATAAGGTTGCAAAACTACCAAGTAAGCAAGCCCCAGAAATATCCAACTTCCTGCTAAGTTTCTGTTTTCCTTAACTCCAGGTGAAAACATATACAGCCAACAGAAAAGCTTTGGGTTGAAAGAGAAGAGTAAATCTCAACGGGGACACAGAGAGGAGGCCAGCTCCTCCACAGTCACATCTTGTGAATGACAGATATTGTCACACCCAGATGTACACCAGCGCTCTACAGAAATCTATTCTTTGAGGCTCCCCTGCCTCTGATGTCCATGAGAGAGATGTGATGTGGAAATGCATTTCTGCGCTCTGGGACCTGGATTATGCATCCTGCTTGGTTCAGCCTGCCTTATTAACTAGCTGGAGTTTGTCATTCTGAATGTCAGGACAGTTTTATAATGTGGGGCTCCAAAATGATATGCTGTCTAATCCTCGTTTCCTTGGGAGGCTTTCTCCATTGCTGCAGCTAGCCACGTGGCAGAGCACAGAAAGCCAGGCATTCCTACAAAGCTCATGCTATATGGCTCATCATTGCACAATATTTTCCATCATATCACTTCAAGTAGATGCTTAAGTCACTGGGAACATAGCTGATCCTCTTTATGGAGCTGTACTTCATTCAGGAAAAAGGGGTTTCAGGACCATCTCTGACATTCACAGCAGAACTTCCCTCTTCTGCACAGTTCAGCAAGTGTCAGGGCTGGTTAAGACCTTATTTTTTGCAGTTGGACCTGTTGCAAGACTTGTCCTCAAACTGCCAGGATCAAGGAGGTCTTCAATTAGAATCTCTTGAGCACATTCTCATTTCAGATGGGCAAGAAATATAGTGTGATCACATTTATGAGCACCGCATAACCACAAAATAAGCCTAGCATCAGTTTCTCCCCATGTGTTGCCTTTGGGAAGCAGCATCTGAATTTTCCTACACTTTCCTACACTGTCCTCCCCCCTCCCTCCTAATAGCCACTTCTCTGCATCCTTCTCTAGGCCATTCCTCCCTTATCAGAGCTCTTACCCAGCCTGGCACTAATCCTATTTGCAGGCCACTGGCAGCTCTGGTCTTCTGAGTTCTTTCAGTGTTTTCCAGACAGACAGCAAAGTGCTGCTGTTGAATCTAAACTATAGAGTGAGCACATGGTGGGGAGGATATGACCAGTCTATGGCACATCCTGAAATTACTTTTTTTTTTGCAATAATTTGCTAGGAAATTGTCATTTAATTCCCATGCTTTAGCATGAGCTTAGAAGGAAATAAAGTTTGATTTGAACTAAATTGCTGCTGCTTTCCAAGATCCTTGCATACAGCCCCTGAGCTATAATGCAAATAATAAACATCAGCAGCTGATGACAAACAAAACGAAAGGTTGGAGGTCGGATACCCCATCCTCCCAAGTGCCTGCAAATTTCCTTCACTCCCTTTGCAGCTGCCTGTTGCTCCCTGAGATGCTCGGTATGCAGCACAACCACTGTTAGGGCAGCAACAACACTGGTGCAGAGAATGATGCTACCACCGCCAGGCCAAGTGTGGATGCTAGGGGATGGATGCTCAGGGGATGGATGCTGGGGGATGGCTGCTCTGGGCACAGATGCTAGGGGATGGATGCTAGGGCAATGGATGCTGGGGGATGGATACTCAGGGGATGGATGCTCGGAGGCACATTGGCACGCACACAGCATTCATTAAAAGCGGATTAAGAGGAACAAACAGACCAATGCTGCAGAAAAGGAATGAATGCAGAGCACAGGAATTGTTGGAGGAGTGGGTGACAGGGAGCTGATTTGGGAAGCTGGGGCTCGGGTGGTGTGTGCGGAGCCGGGCTCTTTGCCTCGGCAGTCCCTCTTAATGAACCATCAGTAAAAACTATCAGAGGGTATTTGGTGACAGGAAGATTAACCAGGCATGAAAAGTTAAAAGAACGCTGCTCAAAAGTGAGTTAATTAATTTTTTAGGATGAAAAGCAGCTTTCCCTGTTAGCCTCTGGGTTCCTCTCCCCCAAACATTAGACGAAATTGCATTGTTTACAAAAATTTATTAATACAAACTTTACACACTTTATATAACAGTTATCAAAGTCCTACTTATAGATATCAGGTGTGTCATAATACTTTGCTGAAGTTCTCTTTATATCCATTTGCACACAAAATAAGTTCTCTGAGACTAACATCTACCTAAACTATCACTGCGTCTCAGGTCTGCTCGAGGCTCAGTAAGGCTGTTGGCGTTCCTAAAAAGTACACAGAGGATAACCGAGGTGATCACTTGGTGATGCTCGCAGCTAGCCACGGAACTCGAACGGAGAAGGTCAGAAACAAAACGTCAGGAGAGCCCTATGGCATCACACCACAGCCGACACGAACACAGCAAACTCTGCCCATCGCCAAAGAACAGAAAGAAATACGACTAAAACGCAAGCCGATGTGTTGCAGCATCGTAGGGCCACTAGATAGCCATCCGTCAACTCGTGGCGATTGACAAGGTGAAGAGAAGGCACGAAAGCTGCAAAACCGCTCCCCGCGTCCCTCGGCCAAGCTGTGGGGCGGGCGGGGCCGCGGGGTTCGGAGCCGGCCCGCCCCGTCGGGCCCTGCCCCATAGCGCAGCCCCGCAGCGTGCGGAGCCGGGGCCGCCCCCGGGCTCGGGCGGTGCCTTCGGGAGCGGCCCCTCCGCGTCCTCCTCCGGAGCCCGCCCCGAGCGCTCCGCGGGTGCGCGCCGAGACAGGAGTCCGTACAGAGAGAGGTGGGGTGGAAATGGTTTATCTCGTTCGAAACCGGACCACAGGTGAACACTACACATTCTTGTATGACAAAAGGTCGGTTTTATGAAATCAATTTTACTAAGCAATAAGCCAGAATGTAGAAAAATACAATTTTACCTCCAAACTCAATAAACAAGGAACAAAAACGTTCGTCGTAGTGCATAATTCTTTAGTGGTAGCTACAACAGGGGTTCCTAGACTTGTACAACAGAGCTTGCATAAAACAGAACAAAGGAGTGAGAGAGCGTTCACAACCGTTTTGTCGGGTATTTTTTTTTTCCCCAAAAGAACATAACCCGAAAAGGTGACTCGGGCGGCTTAACAGCGCTCGGAAAGTGCCAAGAGAGGGGGAGAGGCGGGAGGGGCTGCGGGAAAAGAGCAAAACAATCCAAGGAAAAGAGCGACTCCGACCGACAAACGCACAGGCGAGAGCCTCGCTGGCTGCGGGTGGGGGGAGCACGGAGAGCAGCTCAGAGCCACGCGCGGCGCTTCGCAGCTCGCACCGGAGGGGGAGCGGGGCCGCTCCCTCTGCCCCGCACGGTGCCGTGTGCGCTCCGCCCGCAGCCGGGAGAGCGGTGCGCTTGGCACCCGCCGTCCTCGCTGCGGGTCGGCATAGGGGGGCCTGGAGGGTTTGGGGGTCTGATTTTTGGTTGTTTTTTTTTGTTTTGTTTTGTTGCTTGTTTTTTTGTCGCTGTTGGTTTGCTCGTTTAGCTATTCTCCCTCCGATAGGCACAATTTGCATCGAGCTGTTGCTGAATCCTCCTCTGCGCTCATTGCTCGAGGAGGCACTGATACGGATAGGACCAGAATCAAAGAAAAAGGGGGAAAAATAGAGAGAGAGATCGAAATCTCGAGGTCGGGGGGACCCCATCCTGCTGAGCCCTCCCTATGCACAGCGGCACACGGTGAGAACTGAGGTCTTCGCCCCCGTGGCGAATAAAAACAGTGCCCTTTTCGTTTCCGTTACAAAAATAGGAGCGCTGTTCAAAGCGGTGATTGTCTTTTTTCGTCTATTTATTTTCTATAAAAACATAAACAGCTCAGGCGAACTCTCGTCCTGGTGCAGCTTGGTATGAAGAATCGCTCTTTAGCATTCAAAGCAGTATTTATATATATATATTTATATCTCATATATAACTCAAGGATTGGTCCACAAAGTAGATCTGTGCGTTTCTCTAGTGCTTTCGTACAAAAGAAAAACCATATTATTATCAAAATATTCATTTAATGGCTTTACTTCATACATAAATACATGTTTGGGGAACACGGGAGCGGCGGTCTTTCCGTCACTTTGGAAATGACTTTTGTTTGGGTTTGGGTGGTTGGGTCTCTCTCTCTCTCTCTCTCTCTCAATCTCTCTCTCTCTCTCTCAGGACTACGCACGGCAGCGGCGGTTGCTCATCGCTACAAATACGCTACTCGGCGTCCTTTGTTTTTAACTCTTTGTTTATACCTTTTCCCCAGGACGGCCGCTAAGTATTTCTTGACAGCCATTTGTTTCCGGTAGCGGCTGTAGCTGTCCGTGAAGATGCCGTCTATGTGCCGCTTGCTGAGCGGTTCCGCCTCGTCCCCCAGGCCGCTGCTGGCACCGCTGCAAAGCACCGAGAAGGACACAACCATCAGAATGAGCCCTCCCTCCGCGCCCCAACCCCAACCCCGGCCCTAACCCCCAGCCCCGGCTCCGCATCGCGCGGCAGACAAAGGGCGGGGCGGTGCGGAGCGAGGCGTCTCCCCCCCGCCATGCATTATGCATTGCGTTCCCGGAGGGGTTCGCTCCGATGGCACCACCCGGGGTTGCCCCGCGGGAGGGACGGCCGAGCCCCGGGTGCGGCTGCTGCTCGCTCCGGCAGAGCACCGCGGGGAGATGGGGCCGCCCCGCCCCGCCCCGCCGCCCGCCGCGCTTTGTTCGCTCCCGTCCCCGCCGCAGCCCTTACCCGACCCGCTTGGCCATCAGGGAGTGCAGGTATTTCCTGGCGGACAGCTGGCCCAGGACTTTCCTGTAGGCTTTGCTGAAGATCCCATCGGTGTGCCTGCCGGGGAGCACGGCCCGTCAGCGCCCATCCCCGAGGCCCGCCCCGCGGCACTGGGCCGCCGCCGCCCGTCCTCCCCGCATCGCCCCCGGCCCCGCTCCCCGCAGCACCGCGGCCCTTCTCCTCCCCACCCGGCACCCCGGCCGGAGGTACCCACCCCGAGCACGGCTTCTCCACCCCTTCTCGGCTCCGCGCTGGCCAGGTGGATGGGCATTACGACTATTTTCGCCCGTTGGATGTTTTCCCTTTCCCCCCGCCCCGGCCCTATCCGCCGCCCCGCTGTCACCTCTTTCCCAGCGGGTAGTACAGCGCGTACACCTCGCCCAGCGCGGACGGCGGCCCCGCCACCCCCAGCGGCTCTTGCTCGTAGGCGAAGTCCTGCAGGGTGTTCCCGTCCTCGTCGTACACCTCCTCCTCCAGCCTGCGGTAAGCACGGGCGGGGCTCAGCCGGACGTCCCCAGCCCCGTCCCAGCCGCGGGACCGTGCGCCGACGGAACGGGGCTGAGCTCGGCCCCACCGGGTTCTCCCCGCGCCCCGCTCCTCCCCGCCGCGCCCGGAACCGGGGTGGGGCCTGCGCCCGCCGCTGGGTTTCGTTGAGCCGTTCCTCTGCCCTTCGGGATCTCTCCGCTTTGCCCCCGCCCCAGCCCCTCCCCGCCGCTCTCCCTGCGGTACGATGTAGGTCACGGTACGATCCGGGCGGCTATTTTTGTCTGGGAGCTTTAGCGGAGGTATTAATAATAGATGCCGCTAAAGTGTTCGGCTCCTGCTAATAACGAAGCTGAATGGAAGGAGCCGGAGGGAGGGAGCTGGGGGCCTCCCGAGTCCCACGGCTGCTGCTTCCCGCGGGGAGCCCCGCCGGAGGCACCTCACAGATGGGACACCATAGAGGGCATCCCATAAAGGACACCCCGCAAAGGAAACCCAATAAAAGGCGCCCCACAAATGGCACCCTATAAAGGGCACCCTACGAAGGACATCCCACAAATGACACCCCACAAATGGCACCCCGATAAAGGACACCCCACAAACGACACCCTACAAATAAGAGCCCGCAAAGGACACCCCACAAGTAACACCCCACGGAGGACACCCCGTAAGGGGCACCGTGCAAATGACACCCCACAAATAGCATCCCACAAAGGACAGTCCAGAAAGAACTCCCGGTAAGAGACACCCAACAAAAGATACCCCACGAATTGCACCCCATAGAGGACACTCCACAAAGGACACTCCACGAAAGACATCCGATAGAAGACACCCCACAAAACGACACTCCACAAATAACGCCCCGCAAAGGACACCCAGCAAAGAACATCCAATACACGACACCCACAAACGACACCTCCTCTGACCCCCGCCCGCACGGCTCGTTTCTCCGCAGGACCCTCCGCTCAGAGTTCAGCACTGCGGGGCGGGACAGCGGCCCCGGCCCCAAACCAGCCCCCAAAGCCCGAATGGGCTGCGGGCAGCCGGCAGCACAACCCCAAATGGGAAACTCCGTGTGACACCCCCGACGCGAGCAGCAACTCCGACTATGTAACACAGAAAAGAAACGCGAACACCTCACGGCCGGGAGGGAGGTGGCATAAAGACGGCTAAACGCTGAGGGAGGGGGGACAGAACCTTTGCAAACTCTCTATGGATCTCGCATCCTCACGCCACCCCGACCCCAGGCAGGCACACGATGTACCCCCAAAGCGGAAGGGATCCGGGATACTCGGACGGCCCCGAGGCGTGGGGGAAACCCACCTGAGCGCCGGGTACTGGAGTCCAACGGCGGGTGAGCAGTAGACGTTGCAATGCATTATTATGCCATAGACCAGAAGGGCTAGGAGCGCTTTGCTACACATTGCCACTCTGTGCGGGAGGGAAAGGAAAAACGCTGTCAAAAAAAAAAAAAAAAAAAAAAAAAAAAAAAAAAAAAAAAAAAAGGAACAAATTAATTAATAAAAAAAAGAATGAAAAAATAAAACGGACAAAAAAAATTAAAGAATTAAAAAAATACCAAAAAAATATAAACAATAAGAGTCCCCCACGACCCACCGAGCGCAGCGGTGCCACTGCCCGCCCCGTCGGTGCCCTCCCGCTCCGGGAGGCCCCGCGAACCGCCTCGGGTCCTTACCATGAAACTGTGACACCCGGCACTGAGAGCGTGTGGCTGCGGAAGGGAAAGGGAGAAAGGGAAAAGGAGAAAAAACCCCAAAGAGGAGGGGGAAAAATAGAGCTGTCTCCCAAGTTGCGGCCGAAAGGAGTCAAAGGGCTGCCGGCATCGCCTTTTCGCTGGGCGAAGGATGAAGAAGACGCAGAAGCAGCAGAGAGTTGTTGGCTGGTTTTAGGGGAATCCACTCCGACAAAAAAAAAAAAAAAAGGGAAAAAAAAAAAAAAGGAAAAAAAAATCGAAAAGGCCAAAAAAGTTTGCAGGCAGCCGAGCAGATCCGGAGCGGAGTCTGCAGGGGAAGGGAGCGGGGCGCGGAGCGGCGGTGCCGGAGCGCGGGGCGCGGAGAAGGGACGCGGAGCCGGCCGGGAGCGGAGGCGGGGAGCGGGCTGGCTGCGGGCGGTGCTGCCTTCCCAGCTCGCTCCCCTCTCTGCGCGCCTTCAGCCTCTTCTCCTCTCCCCGCTCGGCGGCTCCCAACTTGACCAAGCCTTCCGCAGCCCCCCGGCTGCCACGCAATTAGCGACGGAATCTTTGCAAACACCGCGCTTCGGCAGGAGCCCTCTCCGTCAACATTCGCTCCCTCGGAGGAGGACGGGCAATATTGGCTGTTGCCCCCGTGGCGGCGGACGGATTTTTATTCATGAATCAAATGCTTTTTTTTTTTTTTGCTTTTTTCTTTTTTTTCTCCCCCAGTCACGTAATAATCGGGTATCAGAAAAGACGTCACCACCCCAATTCCTCAAGGAACACAGCTCGGTGTCGTCCTCCAGGATGAGCTGAACGGGAGTCATAGGGCTTCTCATAAACACCAGCTCACGCTTCACCCCCACCCCC